AACCTACTGATTTCATGCCTATCTTCGAGAAACGGGGAAATCTATCATGCACATCATGGTTCTGCGAAGTATCAGAGGAAATCGAAGAGGAACACCTAGCAAAATTCACGATGATTCTATGGAATCTTGGAACGAACGAAATAATCATTTGTCAACAAGAAGAAGGCGGAAGAGTGGGAAATCGTGGGAAAGGCCCTATCCTATCATGAAGAATTCCTATCTGCCGGCACAAGGAGGAGGGGGAGAAGGGAAGTTGTACCTGTGAAATGGAAGAAACCGCCGGCGGGCACCGTGAAAATAAATGTTGACGCGGCGTCTTTGAGGGAGAAGGGACTGGAGCTGGGGTGGTCGTCTGGGACTGAACGGACTATGCTTGTTCGCAGCGGTTCGCCGAGATCGGAGGCAGTGGAGGCCAGAAATTGTCGAGCTCCAGGCCATCGATTTTCGCGCTGGAAGTAGTGGAAATGAAGGGTTTTGCGATGGGGAAATCGAGTCAGACTGTTTGGGGCCATCTCAAAGCTCAATGGTGACGTGGACGCCCTGACGGAAGAAGGTGAACTCAGACGGAGCTTAGGGCCAGGGCCCATCTTTTGGGCCAGATCAAATGAAATTTTGTTAGGAGAGACTGTATGAAGTACCCATGCTATGGCCACTTTGGGTGTAGATGGGATACCTAGGAATGTTGGGAAGAGAGGCCTCCTTTATCTTTACTACCGGTTGGAAGCGGATTGTAACCTACCTGATGCTTAAGCAATAAAATCTCTACCAAGTTCCTATAAAAAAAGTATGAGACACAAAAAAAGTTTCTATTTTCAAGAGCAAAAAGTGGATTTGGTGAAAACATCTTAGACCCGCAAGAATTATGATGTATCTATCCATATATAGTTATATTAGTGATAGTAAAATGCGATGAAGTATCAAGTTATAACATCAAGAAATACAAGAATAAGAAGTTATAAATTGCATACCTTGTCTCCATAATGAAGTGGATTTGGTGGAAGTGTAATTGGAATGTAGAGACATGTAATCCATGGAAATATAAGCAAATGAGAAGAAGAAAAAAAATCCCCCACTATTCGAAAGAAGACAAAATAACTTTTATTAATTATTTACATCAAATCACTTTTATTTACCTAAAGATACGAAAGAGGTTTGTAAAAAGAGAATTAAAAATAAAGTAATAAGCTTATCATGCAAACTTAAACAACAAGCCCGTCTAGCTCAGTTGGTAGAGCGCAAGGCTCTTAACCTTGTGGTCGTGGGTTCGAGCCCCACGGTGGGCGCTTCTTTTTCCATCACCCTGCATTTATTTTACGGCTCACACTCTCTGTCTCTCTCCCTAGTTCTCTTTTCTATTTTTAGGGACGAAAGTCATCGGCAGCCTCTTTTTCAGGAGAAAAAACCACATGCATGCATTTGCATTGCACGCAACATAAATACAAACCCAGGTCAGGTCCCCAATCCAAGAAGCCATTCTACTGTCGAAAGTCTTCAAAGCTTCTCCATTTCTCTCCTACCAGCAATTACAACGCCATCAGGGATCATGGACATGGATGAGTTCGTCAGCTGGTCGCCTCCGAAACCACAGAAGAAGTATTACATCCGTAATGTAATGTGATCTCATCTGATCTCCTCCTTAATCCCTTCTTCCCATTTCATCATCCTTTTTCTTCATTCCATTCATTGCATTTGTCAACTTCCTTCACCGATCCTTTTAATCGTTTCCAGGTTTGGTAAAATGCTTGACCACATGTTATATCTTGTTGAGAGATCTAACCTTCTCTGTGCACTCCCCTGAATCTGAATGTCATATCCATGATAATAATAAAAAAGATGAATGGTTCTTCGTGTGATATATAGATATTAAAATTGGAAATCCTGTGGTGTGACAGGGTCGGCTAACCAGGGATAAAAATGGTAACACTATAATCAACGAGTTTGGGGAAAGCAGCAACCATGGGATGATCGTTTTGGGGATCGTTTTAGGCTTGCTACTGCTGTTCATGGTGAGCAACTATCTCGTATACCGTTACGCCCAAAGGAATTTCGCGTCACAAATGAAGAAGAAGAAGAAGCCAGTCTCCAAGAAGAAGATGAAGCGGGAGAGGCTCAGGCAAGGCATTTCTGCTCCTGGAGAATGAATACAACAGTAAACTAAGTCAGTACAGAGAGACCATGTTCGTAGCAACTTCTCTGCTTCTGGTGTATGCATGACCTAATTCGGCATCTCTGTTCTTTTCTTTAGTCTCTTGTGTTGAACAAGTTCAGTTGGTCGTAAATTTGGGAGATCAATGTTACATTTAAGCAGCAACCGATGTCTGCCTTCTTTAGATTGTTCCATAAACGTAACCCTGCCTCAAAATTGAGTAGCAAAATGACCATCCAGAAATGCGACGACACAACTGGGAAATAAGAGTGCACAATACACCAAACCAAAGAGACGATTACAGGCACTGAAGTAACAGTTTGCAGTGATCCGTGGTAAAATTCTTTCAATTTATCATAACCGAATGTAGCAGGAATAACATTTACACGCTAACTTAGTTTCAGCTCAATTTCTGGGTCGTTAGATGGACACAAGAACGAAACATCACCGAAAAGGTTGGTTGCTGTGTCTGTCGCCGTGTCGCGCCTTGGCATTTCCCATTTAACCATCCCAAAGGTTCAAAACAACCTTACGGGACTTACCACACAATTCAATCAGCTGCTTCCTTTCTTGGACCTTGCTACCTAAGTATCCTCCCCCTACTGTACATTTTCCCCAGCTACTCGGGCTATACTAACACCAAAGAGACGATAAAACACTAGCCGAAATGGACCAGGTCCTGTGCCAGTCAAAAAAGAGTCGCTCATAAGAACTACTGCATCCGAAAACCCCAGTCCCCGGGTGAGGTGACTTCTGCTCCTGCACAAAATTCAGATGTCTACTCGATTCTCAATAACACTCCTGTAGACTTTTTCCCTCTTTATCATTTGCTTGAAAGCCAATTATCTCAAGACATTTGAGACTTCTTCACATTTCATCAGGGAGGGTTTTCTTGGTTCTGAGTGATGGATGGAAGGAGACTTCACAGCCGCCAAACTTGAAACACTCCAGAATTCAGAGTACGGCTTCTGTCCCCCAAAAATTGATAAAATAATGGTATCAATTGCCCGCAGGTTGTCTATTCAGAGTCCGTATCAATGGAAAGATACAAACGCTGTCTCACAGAGCGCTTTTGTCTAGGGAACGAGAAAGGGCTTTCAGTTCTCGGGCGACTTGCCTTTCAGATGAGCCACGTCATTTCCCAAGAAGTAATGAGGCTGCAAAACAGACACAACAACAACCACCAGCACACTCATCAGACCCAAGCGCTAGAGAGGTGGTAGTACGTAAATTGGCAAAACAAACACAGGTAGCTTTCATATGTAAGCCTCGTAATTAACATCTATATCAACTTCGCTACCCATATAATTGTATTAAGCATTTATGGAAAAGAACTAACTAACCAGTGTCGGTCAAAGAACCCATAGCACCATCTCTATTAGTAGGCATCGCATGTCTTGAAGTTAAGCTGCCATTTGCAAGTGGTACAGATTCACCATGACCACCGCCAGCAGCAGGCAGCACCACCTCCCAGCCTAAGAGAGATCCAATCCTCAGATCGAAGCCCACCATTATTCGACGATGCATCGACCTGATGATGATCTCTCTATTGGAATGCATTGACGAATCTAATGGCCTGGTTGGAAAGAAACAGTTGTAGAGAAGGATCTTCCTCGAAAGCCAATGGATTATCAACCAACCCACCATTCCCGTCAGATCTACCCACTGAAGTATCTGGTGGGACCAAATTGACATGTCCCACGCCAGTATCAGGACCAAACTGTATCCATTGATTGATGTGGGACCATGATGCAAATCAACCAAGGGATCTGAGACATCTGAACTAAATAACTGGAACCCTGGGCCACCCTGGGGTGGTGGCCGAGGGGCAATCCTCCATAATCATCATCATTCGTCATTGAAAAGACCCAAGCAGGACGTTCCAGCAGCAGCGCCAAGATTGGGATCCTCGGGTGATAAGGTGGTTCTGGAATCCAGATCGGGTCCCTCTGAGAAACCAGCCCGCACCAACATCATTCTGGTTGTTGTTGAAGCCAGCGCCAGAAGACACCAGTATATCATTTTTCATATCTGTATCACTAAGAACAATGATCTCTGCAGCATCCGCTGCCACTGGAGCAGAAATAGCTGTGCACCAAACCCATACGTAGATCTATATTGAGAGCTAATGAATCGAGTTCCATCCTCCACTATTATTATTAAAATCCAAATTACCATCCTGATTCACACTTGGATCCTCACCACTGCCAGTACCGCTGCTAGTCATGGGAATAACTTTCTGCTGAAAGTTATCCGGCTGCAATCTGTTGTTCCTGAAGAAGAGCCATTCATACCCTCATGTTTGCTGACTACCCAAAGCCCATCAGGTTCTTCCTAAGACCAAGTTTCAAACCATTAATAGTACCATGACCTTCAGAATTACCTTCCTGCTTGACTTGCTTCCCTGTTTCCACCACCTTTGACTGAACCTCCCCATTTGGTATGCTGCATGGAGTACCATCAGGATTGTGCCACTGTGCCAGTTCTCCCAAATCTCTCTGCTCAGCTTCGGTTTGGTTTCACACGCCATGCCCCATTAGGCTTTACCTCAATCTCTGTTACATCCTCGCCACAGTGCCTCATCTGCAAACAACACAGAATAAAAAAACCCGATGCTAAGATTTATGTCACAAAACACCAAAACTAATTATTAGACTACTAAACAAGAAAGCACTACCTTAGTAGTGATGCGGTTGAAAAAAGGATCGACGATTACACTATCCAATTGAGTAGTTCTTCAGACAAATGGGGCATTGCCACTGCAGAAAATCCACACACAACATTCAAGACACAGAACAAATAACTAGAACCTTAAAAGAAAAAATAAGGGGATGAACAACAGTTACTTGCCTTCCTAGAACGCTGATTGAGCTCAACAAAAACATCAAGGTCAAAACAGCCCATGTGAACACACGGTTTAAATTCCAGCAACTTTCATTCTTGAACCACTCATCTGCGCAGGGAATACAAAAAATCCACAATTTGATAAGAGATTCTCTGGCGGTTTAAAAACACACAAAACAATTGCTCAGATGACCAGTACTGAACAGAACAGCTATTCAAAGGTTCATAAACAAATTAAAAAAGTTCACTTACAGGACAACGAAGATTGACAGTAATGGAGTCTGCAACAACTTCGAGATCGCTGTCACTGTCAGCACCATCAGTTGGAGTCCACACCAACACAACGGCAAACACGAGAAAGTGCGTCTTCAAATTGTTCACCATCAGACTCTTTAGGTATCAACCCAAGTATCTGAAACGATAACATTAAAGATTATTTAGCAGAACTATACATACTACAGCAGCTCCTATTTTTATCAAAGTGTGCGTTGTGCTCTGTTTAGAATCAGCTCAATGTTTAGAAGAGAATTTCACACGCCAAATACAAGATAAAAAAGAATGAAATGATAATTAAAAAAAAAAAAAACTGTACATAATGTGAGATACTTCAGACCAATCAAACACGCTCTTCTGGTATCTATTCCAAAGCTTATCATATTATAAATAACAGAAAGTCCATCATCTTGAGAAGATTGGAAGATAAAAAAGACCTAGAACTGCGGAATTCAACAATTCAAGCAGCTATGCTCAGACAGAGTCACACACTTACCTGAAGTGTACGCCGCTTCACTATCCTTACCCCCAAGCAGAAAACCCGGGCATCAAATCCAGAACGATATTTATTGATCCCATCCTTCGTACATGGTGTGATCTAACCAATGATTAAGACGTTCAAAGAAGGTTAAAGACAAATTACAAAATACTTGAGGCTTACGTGGCCACTGACTCTGCTAGACCCCGAACAAACTAGCCTACAACTATTTATACAACAAAGAATTCTAATAACAATATAAACCAAAAACTCACAATTGGACCATCATCACGGCCATTTGCCCCGAGCAGTTGCGAGCCAGGTCTATTAATCGCACGAACAGGTACACCTGTGTACCCAAACAAATTACAAGTCGTATCAAGAAACCTAAAGAGAGAAAACTAGTTAAATAGACATTCTATGAATAGAAGGTAATTATCATACCATGACTTGTAAATCAGCATGTTGAGGCCACTGCATCCTAAATGGGACTTTGTCATTCAAAAGCATGCACCACGCCTACGATGAGTTAAAAAAAAATACGGAAACAAATCACTTTGACATATTTTCTGGCACCTCCTGAAATGAAAATTGACGAAAAACATCTAAATCAATCCACCTGCACATCAATTTCTGGCTTAGTCAATAGGTCCTTATCTGCCCTCGTCAGGTGAAATGACTTCTCTATATTCTGCACTGGATTTGTGCTGGAGAATATTGAATATAAGTAGCAATACTAGGCAGATGAAATATACAGCAAGTGATTAAAATATGAGAGTCCATCAATTAATTGCATGACGAAACAAATGCAAGTAAGACAGTGCTTTGTTTGGCCTTCAAACTTACCTGTAAATTGGTAGAGGAGGACAAAGAGATGCAACTTACATAGTCAATATTCCTAAACCTAACAAGCAGAATTTCTCCCAGTATATTATATGCCACACACCCCAAAACTATAATTACTGTGCGTGACAACTGCAAGAAAAGCCTACAGACCAAACCCTATGGATAGTGAAATGCAAACTAGCCTATTCAATGTTTATCAACAAATTGAAAAACTGGACAAGTACATACGCCTCAAATCAAAATGCAAAGCGTCTAAGAAAAAGAATGAACAATCCATCGAGGACCTCAAAAAATCAGTAATACAATAACGATAAACCTACCCATCAGTTGGGATATTTGTAATGGCCAGCTTCACAGAAGATAGTGGATGAGCCATTGCAATCCAAAAGCTGCAGATAAAGTTTACTTCATATTAGAGACAAATACTAGTGAGATGCATAGGACATGGATACTCTGAGACCATGAAAAGAAATATAGCCTTTAAATTTTAACAAATGCATTAATAGAAATCGGACTGACATAAAGTTATAATAAAACAAGAAATCTTAAGAAAAAAGGAACGTGTATTCAGCTTCTGACACTAGGCAACTATTGAGCAATTGAGATGAAGAGAGGGATAGACAATGTATCAACTAAATCCAGATAAGTTTACTTCTGCTGACTCGGTAAACTTTCACTCTCAGCTACAGAATATTCCAAACAAGTCGATAAACAAATGAAAAGTCGAATCTTGTTCCCACAACAGGATTTTCCTTGTGCCTGATCTGCTTCACCATCTAACAACTAAGGCACAAGCATGTATTATTTCAAAAGTTCAGCTCCATCCAAGTGACTGTAAACAAGATTGCCACTAAGCTCATGAATACATGCCTTAATAACAAGAGAAAACAAAACTTAACAACACCAGATTTAAAGCTTTCACCTAGTTCCCCTTCCCTAGTAGGCATAGCTATCATCAACCATTAAAGACAAGGATAAATTCCTAAATAAAATCCACCCCAAAGTTTGGCCTATGTCAGTGTGTCACTGGTCACAAAGGCACCTGGAACAAAGATGTTTGCAATAACAAAGACAGAAAAGAAAACCTAATTCAGCAGCACAATTTAAACATGACAATGAGTAGATAAATGATTCATACGGGTCAGCTCGGCTCAGTCGACAAATCTCACAGTAAAATACTTCGGGAACTTGGGACTTCCCTCCATAGGCTTCTCAGCAACTATAACAAACCAATATGCTGCCACACCTGGCATCTGGGATCCTCACACTGCAGTTGGAAAAATAGTGGTTCCACGGATAAGCCACAGTACAAATCATTCTTAAGAGGATCAAGTCCTTACACTTGGCATACGCTTGTGCAAGAAAAGTGGACCAGTTGAAAATAAAACTTAGAATTCCTAAGTGGTTATCACAAAGTGATTAAGAAATGAAACAGCTACAATTGGTTCATAACCAAATTTGGTAAGATATTACAGCAAAAAAAAACACGTTGGAAATAAATGTCACGGGCCATGCTCCTCATACCCCAAGAGAGACTAACAACTCACACGCCTAAAAGAGTAGGTACCCACAAATGGTATGCTAGTATAACTGCTCCAAGAAAGAAATGTAAGCAGTCAGAATATCTAGTTTACTATGATGGAAACTCATCCATGCAATAAAAGTAGGAGTACATACAAATATCAAAAGTGCCAAACATATAGGGAACAGCTCCAAAGATTTCACAATTGCAAATCACCTTAATCATCGATTCTGTTTCCAATGAGCTGCCACAGGACACCGAACTTTGGTATCACGGTGAAAAGAGTCCTCGGGTTCTCCTTTAACAACTTTCGGATTCGAATTGCTGCTATCCAAAACACATTGCGCCTTTGATGCTAAATCAGTACCCGAAACCTGCATTTTCCTGAAGATGACGATAACGGTACATTTTTTTACGAGATCAGTGTGATATATGCAAAATGAACGAAGTACATAGTAGAGATGATCAAAGCTGACTTACTTCAGACAATTATTTTCAATAGAAAATGTCGCATAATATAATACCAAAGGTATCAGGACAATTTGGAAAATAAATTTACAAGTCAAGAGATGTCATTAGGAACCTGTAAATGTCATCAACAAGTTTTGCTGCTTCGTCCCTTCCAAGAACACCCCTCTTTGGCCACGCCTTGGAACCTGAACATAGGTAACACAATCATTAATGCCATGTTGAAATAACTGTGACAGACTATCTGCACATTCACATGAGCAGATCTCACCCGACATAACAGTTCGTAAAAGCGGCAACAGAAGGACGAGGAAGGGGGGCTAATGCAACAACTACAGTATATTTCAGGCATTATTAGGGTAATAATGGCTACAACTGACAGCACCTGTCAATGCGTCAGTAGTCAGACTAATGGAGTTGGATTTTCATTCTCCGAAAGAAGAATTTGGTAGAAGAAAATATCAATCCATAGTTTTGCTTAACTGATCTTGCTGAACAGGTATTTTCCGTCTGAGACCATGGTTTCAGAAAACAGCTACAGCAACATTCGAAAAACAAATTCTTTTCGATGCACATCAACAGACCATATGAACCAAAAGCCACAATGCCAAACAAAGAAGGTAAAGCACGAGGAGGGAAGCAAAGAGGTGAGTTTGCAACACTGGGGGATCTCTTACCTTGTGCATCGTGCAGGACATTCAATATGCGATCAACTAGGTCCTGTACAGTACAAGTAACAGCAACGAAGAGAACAGCTTGATCAAGAACATTTCATACAATTAGCAACGAATGCTAAAGCGGGTACAAAGAATGATCATGAACCTAACCTGCTTTTCCCCTGCTTTGATAGCCCTAACTGAGTCAGGACATCCTTCAGCTCCTTTATTCGAAAATAAGCCAACTTTTCCTACAAGAGAAATGATGCCTCAACCCGTCAGGCGACAACAAGTGCAAGAAATCGGAAAGAGAAGATACTACTCTGATTGCATTTATGTGATTAAGAGAGCCCATAACACACTGAAAGTTACATATAAAAACTCCAAATCCAATCCCAAATTACCCTACTTCAGCCGAGTACAAACAAGACATGGTAGCCACCTCAGTAAACTATTCCATTTCCAATACTCTCTTGTAGCAGAGAAAAATCCAAACTGCAAGCCATTCGACGAGAGCATATCACACATGCTCAACGGAACAGCATTTCTGCGAAGCATCTTCTGCATTGTGGTTCCCAGTAAGTGTAAAATAAGACAGTGAAGCCGCTGAACAAGTACGTAACACGATTATGAATACGCGTTCCCCATTGCTGCATGCTTCAGCAAACCTCTAAACAGGGTTTTCGTTTTACCATTAAAAAGTAACACAAAAAGCAACGAGACAATTCTAAGTTCTAGCTACAAACAGATATCAGCTGCAGCAGGGAAGAGAAGAGAAGATTTCGGAATTGAAGAACACTACTGCCTCCATAATTCAAACCAATTTACCTTGCAGCTATTCACCAAATCCATCTTCCACAACCTCCTCCCTAGAACTGCCACGCGCAAAAGAATCCCCAGCAGCAACCAATCCAATAGCTAAACCATCGATGATGATGGCGAGCACAACAAAACACACTCCCGAAACAGCAACTGATCCACTCAAAATCAACGAAGCAATCCGACAACGCGACCGAGGGAAGAATCGAAATCAACCACGAAACACCACCCAAATCGAGAAAGACGGGAAACACAGCACCATCACATGAATCCCAGGCACTTGTGGTGGCTGCTGCAGAACCGAAACAGAAGTAGAAGAAGAAGAGAGAAGGCTCAATTAGGGTTTCGGCTGCGGGATGAAACCTTCAACCGCCGACTCCTCTCTATCTCTCTCCTTCCCTCGGTGTAGTGCTTCGTTGTTGCTGCGTTTTTCCTTGGAATCTCTCTTATTTTTTTACAACTCTTTATTGACCGGAAGAAGGAAAACGCAGGCGGAGGCCACCTCTCTCAGCCCAAAAAGAGGGCCGGACGTATCGGCGATTATGAACTCCGGTTAATTAGACGGGGAAATGTCCGGGTTTTGCTTCGCTGCTTCTCGCGGTGTTGCTGGTCCAGGTGCACTGTCATGCACGCCTTACGTTTACTTTATTTCTTTTCCTTTAATTTTTTTTTCTTTTTCCATGCACATTGCACAGCTGCGGCCTGCGAGTGGTCGATACTTTCGATAGGGCTTTTTCTTGAGTACGGATATTTTTGTATCTAGCGCAGACTTTTTTGAGGACACGTCAGCGGTCGGGAAACCATGATCTTGTTCCGGATTCTCGGTCCTCGCAGATGGTTCGGTTACCAAGCGTATAGCCAGCCATCTGGAGCTTTTGACCGTTGGATCTGCATAATACTAGCTCGTTAAATCGACCATAACTGCATTCACATGGAATCGACAGCATCAGATTAGTCCCCAAGAAAACCTATTTAAATAATGAATTATTTCTCGTTGTAGCGTTACCAACCGCAGGGCACGGCCAAGACTTGGCCTCTTTCTTTCTTTTCACCTCGTAGTGGCAATGGCTCTTTTTCAATTTTATAGACGCAAAAAAGAAGACTTCGTATGAAATTCTCAATTATGGAGTGTCATTGTTGATTTCTATAGACAATTTTTTATTTGGATGTTAATGCTTTCTTTCTTTTAAAAAGATATGGAATTTTAATTAATTTGGTAAAGTGTCATTACACTACTCCAACAAAATTTAATACAAAAAACAGGAGGCCTACCATTCAAACTTCTATTTCCTCCCATATGCGAAGAACGATTGCCAATTTGCCATCTCTAATACTCCTCAATTTTCTCGTCATCCCCAGAACTTCCAATTCACGTTACTCATTTCCTTGCTCAGCTCTCGAATTTCTCGAGTGATAATTCCCGACTCCATCTCAACCAGTGGCGAACCCATGAATTATATAAAGGGTGTTCAACAATGAAACAAAATTAACAAGGATTGTCAAATAGTCTTGAATTCAAATACCATCATTAATAAATCAAAATTTTACAAAGGAATTTTGTTCTAAAATTGAATCAAGGTTTGTTAGTTGACAAACCTACCACCAACCTAGGTCCGACCCTGATCTCAACCTCCTCTTTCTTGTTCAATTTCTGAATTAGAGTTCAACAATCCGACTCTGGCAACACAGGCTTCGAGACATGCGTTCTCACGACCTGGATAGCCCAGAGCGCTGCTTGAGCTTCTGCTAACTCCGATTCCCAATTGATCCTTGTTCTTTTACCGTGTCCATTAGAAAACTACCATAATCATCTCTTATGACCATACCAGCTTCGTTCCTCCTCCCTTCACCTTTAACGCGTCAACATTGATCTTAAGGGAGCCCATTACCGGTCTTTCCCACTTGTACTCGTTATGATTCATACCTGTCAGAGACTCACATGACTTATTGCTTTTGTATTCATTAAGGTAAAGCTACAATCTTCAAATCACACCTCTTCTTCAAGTTTCTGGTTGTAAAGATTATTGTTACATCCTATTCATATGAACCATGAGGCCATCGCGATTGAACATAGATCTTCGTCTATAGCTTTCTCAATCATTTTACTCAACCAATCTTTACTCGATCTTCCATCCCCTATGCAAAATAAGCCCTAGGAAACTAGGTCGCCAGATTTTTTCTGTCCAGTCACAATCTCTAAGAATGTGTTGTTGAGCATCTGTTTACAACTTTCTTGAACGGTACAGGAAGGGGGCACTATTGATATTATTGCCACCATGGCTATCGTGTATTATATTTTGAATGCAGCCCGCGTTTTGTCAATGGAAAGACTAAGGAAATTGGTATGGAAGGGATTATCCTTCATATTTTATATTACTTTAACACAAAACGAGATACATTGACACACACAATGGATAGCATTAATACATTGCATACTTACACAACTCACTTCAACCGTAAACACAGAACTGTAAAAACCCACTATTGTTAGCATATACGAAACAACACAATCTATTATTCACCGCCTTCAGATCATGAGCTAACATATAATATCCTCCCTACTAAATCATGGTTTAACAATTGTTTTGCCCTCTTTCGTCGCTCAACCTAATTTTATAAAATTTCGAATTTCAATTCAAGCGAAGGAATCTGTTACTTCATATCATCATTCTCTGCCGAGAGTGTAACAACGATAGTTTCTTCTCCGGTAACACAATACTAATCGACCCAAACAAAATATATTCAATCCATTGATTTCAGCTTCCAAAACAAACAACGATAAATTTTCCTCCCCGGATTCTTCCCAGTTCCAGAGACGAGAATAACAGTTGGGCACTTATGAACGCACCTAGGGACATGGGAACTAGCACAACTCGATTCACTTATGTTCTTCCTTATTTTCATTGCATCCATGGCGCCAAAGTTAGATTATTGAATCATCCAAGCTTTTACCCAATCCACCGTTGTGGTTCTCGCCTTTGATCCATCGGATTTGCCTTAGATTGGCGTCGGAGTTGGTGTCACCCCCCCCCAAATAGCTGTCGCCTTCAATATCTCCTGCTCTCCTGTGTTGTAGATGTATCACCTCACTCCCCCCTATTGCACCATTGTTGGTCAGTGGTCACACTCACCACCACCTCTCTTCGTAACTGTCTGAAGAAATAGTATGGTGAAAGAGAGAAAACAAAGATCAATGTGGTGGAGTGAAAATAAAACTTTTTTAATTATATTTAAAAAATATTTATAGTGTGTTGTTGACGTAACTGTCATGGTGACACGAAGTCAACCAATCGTTGACCTTCGTTTGGTTGATTGTCAAAGTCTAACTGTTAACAACATAGTTGAGGACATTTTCACATCATAACCCAATCCATTGGACAATGTTGATGCATGGAGAATATGGAGGTAAAATTGACAAAAAGGTTAAACTATGGTTCATTTTACAGTACTAGCTTTATACCCAGCCGGTTGGCCGGAACCCTAAAAATCACTCTATATATATAAGTCGTAATAGATGAGCAAAATGATGAGTAAATGTTTTTCATGAATTGATATCGAAAGTGTGAAGAGTGCATTATATATATGGGGAGTTCTACGGTACCCAGGGTGAAATCCGGGGTACCGCATACCAGGAGTAAGAAAATGCTATCCAGAACTTGAATTGATTGATCTTTCGGACATGATACTATACTCTTACCCTTAAAGATCAAAATCTAGGTCTTAATTCTCTAAATCTTATACTCCAAGATCAATTTAATTAGAAATAATAATCGATTGTTATGATTCGTCCAAATATAGGCAAAAAAATCAATGCACCATCTTAGGGTTTATAGTTTATGATTTAGATAATTAGAACCTAGGGTGCACCCATTAAGGGTTAGGGTATAGTATCATGTCCAAAATCCTGCTAATTCGATGTCTATATAACGTTTTCGTACTTAAGGTATGCGGTACCCCGATTTCACCCGGGTACCGTAGAAGGCACCATATATACATGTGATAAAGATTGGCATAATACAAGAGTATAGTATACTCTGCATGATCTAGCCGTTAGATGTACCTTGTTGAGCTCCTACCAATCTCAACAGTCAATTACAATTTTCTATTAAATTGAACTTGGGTTTGACTTTAGAGAACCCATCTCAACAGTCATTTATCATTTTCTATTAAATTGAACTTTGAGGTTGAGTTTAGAGAACCGAGGCCTGAAGTTATTCATTAGAGATTAGGGCATAGTATCATACCTCAAACTCGGTTAAAATCATTGTCGAGAATCGAGATAGAGATATCTCACTAAGAGTACCTGAAGTATAATATACTCTATAAGTACACCGGTCTAACCCATATACTGGTATACTCTAGTAGTATAGTATACTTAGCTTATCGTACGCCAATTTAACCCTATATTTCAAGCTAGAATACGCCTAACGTACACTTACCTTATCGTACACACTTCCATTATAGTTATTTACATATTGAATTAGTCAATGTTTGGGCATGATACTTTACCCTGAACTCTAATGGGTGAGTTCTGGTCCCTAGTTCTCTAACCCAAACTATAAGATTCATTTAATCTCAAAATAAAAATCCAGAATTCTGATTCGTCGGGATTATTCAAGTACAAATAATTGGTGTGAACGCAGGTTGACGTATGCTAGCCTTTGCCCCATATAAATACATATATATTGTTTGGACTGGTGTATTCGTGAAATATACTATATTCTATGTACTTGTAGTAGTGAGAAATCTCTATCTTGGCCATCAATTAAACCGAATTTGGGGTATGATACTATACCCTAACCTCTAATGGATTAACCCCACACTAATTCTCTAAATCCAAACTCGAAGTTTAATTTAATAAAAAAAATAATTGACCATTTAGATTGGTCGAAGCTCATCGAAGTACATCTAATAGTTAAATCATTTGGAGTATAGGCTAGCGTATGCCAAGCGTACGCTTATCTTATTGTACGCCCATCGAGTTTTGCTATTTAGACCATGAATTAACCAGAGTTTGGGCTATGATACAAATGTTGCCAGAACCGAACCAGAGCATGACCCGACAATGTGAACGACTCGCACTTTAGTGGTCCAACCGGCATTAGACCGTTTAAAAACCGTTAGAGAACCGGTACCTAATAAACGTTATCAGTAAAAAATAGTGGACATTTCTTAATCAGAGGTCATCTCTTTCCTTCGAAATTGTGAAATGGAAATAAGGATCAGTTTGAGAGCCCGACGTTTTGGTTTATTTCAATTTTCAATTTTTGCAAATTTTTTAATTAAATTTGTGGCTGAATGGCAAAAACCGGACGAGCGACTCGAACGGTTAACCACCTCGGCCGCTCGCCAACCGCTACATAAAACCGGAGCGGCTTTTAGATTGTTCCGAGCCGGTTTTGTGACCGGGTGGGAGTTTTACCGGTCGGTCCGAACGGCTCGGCTTTAATAACACTATAACCTAAACTCTAATAAGTGAACTCTAGTCCCTAATTTTCTTACCCA